AGAGGGAGGAAGAGAGGGAAACATCGATGTGAGAGAGACGCATCGAGTGGTCACCAACTACACGATCCCAGCCCTTAGAGGGAACTGAACCCTGGCCTCTCTGGTCTGAGGGCCGGCGCTCTAACCACTGATCAAAACTGGCCAGGGTCATTTCAATATTCTTAAGGGCTAACCTCCAGTTCTCTGGTGGTCACTAATTTACAATTACATATTGTTGGAAGATGTTACATTTCTGAGGTTTATTATTTTTTTATTGGCACTTGCTTATATCTGCCATTTGACAAAACAGCATTTAATGGATCAAAAAGTGGCTCTTTGCATTCTTAACTTAGTTGGAAAAGAACTGAAGGCTAACAGATTTGTGAAACAGTACTGTAAATGCAGCACTTCTCTACATTAATTATATCAAAACAACGTCTTTAAAAGTCACAAGTCAAGCTGCTGTTCCCAAAACTACTAGCATGAAGGTGAGTGCTCAAAAGTTTGGGTTCTGATGGTTCAACAAGCCCTCCATATCTCCCAATTCTGGGCAGCTGCCTCGATATTTACAAGACATAATAAATTATGTCTGTCTTTTCAAAATTTAAAAAGCACATTAATCAGATGAACTGATTAATGTATATTCAACTCCTGACCAGGTATGTTTTCTAAAATACTACTAAACAACGAAAGAAGACACACACACATTCACAATAAATAGAAATGTCTGTGGAGGAGAACCTAAAATAAATGAATATATATATATGTATATACACACACACACTGATATATATATACATATATATACATATCTTTGTACTATATGTGTGTTTATGTATGAAACTGTGAACATAAAGGTAATTTTCTCACCTTAAATATTCATCCCTTGATTTATATGTAAGAAAGGTCCTTCTCCAAATCAGAGATTCTTAAAGTACATCTGTGAAAAACAGTCAAATGCATCTAGGAGCCTCTCTCTGCATTCTCCAGGGCTCAAGCAAGGCTCTCACTGTTAAGTATACTGACTTAGACATGGGTAGTCATAGTAATGCTGCCAGTCCTTTCCAAGGTTTATTTATTTATTTACTTTCTATTCCTCTCCTAATCCTCCTCTAATTTCAAACACAGAACATACAAATACAGAAAGAAGCCTGCTTCTTTGTGAGTGGGACACTTTTTTTTTTTTGTATACTGCTATAATTGGGAGAGAAAACACAAGGGCAGAGATGTGGACTCTGCATGGCATTGCCTTACACATAAAAGTTTGGGGCAGCTCTGAGAGTTGGAAGGGAAGAGTAACTGTCAATAGAAGCTGGTCATGCTGCAGATGGCAGGAGTGCCTCTTCCCGCCAATGCCAAGGAGAAGCCATCTGCTGCCCATCCACAAGATGACTTCTAAAGTTAGAATGGAAAAGGGAGGCATTAAAAGTATTGGACCACGGCATGCAAGTAGTTCCTTCTTATATAGTTGATGAAAAACTGGTATGGAAGGTCATATAGCAAGGAGAGAAAGACCCCATTAAATATGAACATCTACATGTCTGTGAATCTATGCAAAAGTTTGGAAAGAAAACTCACCAAAATCAAAGGTGGTGTCCTCAGATAATAAATGGTGGTGGTAATGGGGGTTGGGGTACCTGGGGGCTCACAGAGAGGAAAGTTCACTTTGTACTCAATGTACTTATGTATTATAAAACATCTAAAAATGGGATCCATATGTTATTCACAATTTTTAAAAATGGTATGACAGAAACTTTTGTGAGATTTAAAAGCTAGAAGCACAAAAACTTAGCAGATTACCAGCCCTCAAAGACTCAGAAAGGAACATAACTCAGCGAAGCACATTAGAAGCCTTCTTTCACACTTCATTTAAGCATGCTGAATATTTGATGAACATTATATCCTGCAAGAGTTTACAGTGACACAGTACACATCACAAATCCTGAAACTTCAGGCTACCTCTTCTGCACACATTTTTGCTATCTCCATCGGTGTCTTTTAAAACAAAGCTTCTGAACTCAAATGTAAAAATTAACTTTAAAATCTGATTATGGTCAGGATTTCTAAAATAAAAAGAGAATGCCTTAATATACAGGGTGGGGTAAAAGTAGCTCTACAGTTGTGAATACACAAAACAGTTTATCCTTGCATGATTATTTATTAATTACTGTATTATTTTCCATATGAACTAACTGTAAATCCACTTTTGCCCCACCCTGTAGTCTCTCAAAATTATTATATATTATACACTTTTGGCAAATACATTAGCCAGAGTTAAAAACTGAGTGTTGGGGAAGCAAATATTCACTGGATGTTTAGGTTGAGTGCAAGTATTGTCCTGGTAATTGAAATGAGAAGTTTTTTTATTTTTTTATTATCCTCATCCGAGGACATTTTTCCATCAGATAGAGTGGGAAGGAGAGGGGGAGAGAGATAGAGAGAGAGAGAGAGAGAGAGAGAGAGAAAGAGAAAGAGAGAGAGAGAAACATTGATGTGAAAGAGACACATCGAGTGGTTGCCACCGGAATGACCCAACCATGGCCCGAGATAAACTGCAACTGAAGTAAGTGCCCTTAGCGGGAACCAAACCTGGGTCTCTCTGGACCACAGGCCGACGCTCTAACCACTGAGAAAAACTGGCCAGGGCGAGAAGTCTTTTAAAAAACTATTTGGTCTTGCCCTGGCCGGTTTGGCTCAGTGGTTGGAGCATAGGCGTGCAGACCAGAGAGTCCAGGGTTTGGTTCCTGCTAAGGGCACATACCTTAGTTGGGGCACATCCCTAGCCCCGGTTGGAGTCCTGTGGGTGGCAACCACTCGATGTGTGTCTCTCTCAATCGATGTTTCTCTCTCTCTCTTCCTTCTCTCCCTCTCGCTCTATCTGAAGATAAATGCAAAAATGTCCTTGGTTGAGGATAAAAAACAACAACAAGAAAACCTGTTTGGTCTCAGTTGCTCAAATGGACAGTCAGGAGAGCTAGGGTTCTGATATCCAGGTATACCATAGAAAGCAATACTGCACTTACTGCAGGGCAGCAACAAGGAATTATTTTTATTAATAAACAGAGTATTCCTTTTCCCAAGTATGTGTGGGTTCTAGAGTACTTATAAAAATAACAGGTAAAAATAAATACTCAGTCCAAAACAAAAACTATTTTAAGTCAATTTTATATTTTAATAAAATATGTGACAGTGATCTTATTCTAATTTGAAATGTCCTTAGTTAGTGACTGGTCTTTAAACACAGTGGAAGTGGGCCCTGGCCAGTGTGGCTCAGTTGGTTGGTTGGAAAGGTGGTAGGTTGGATTCCCAGTAAGGGCATATACCAGGTTTCAGGTTCAATCCTGTGGTCGGGATGCATGCAGGAGGTAACCGATCAATGTTTCTCTCTCTCTCTCCCTCTAAAATCAATGAAAAAGCATATCCTCAGGTGAGGATTTTTAAAAAATCAATAAAGAAACACAGTGGAAGTGGGGTTCTGGCATTTTCCCAGTAATTTTTTCTGAGCACTTACACCCAATTCATTATTTCATAAATAAAGACCATTAGGAGTGATTAGAACTTTATGTGCTAACAACTGTGCCATACACCTTCTGTTATTGTAGGGAGGAATCAAATAAAATGAACTGAAATGGAAATTAATCCCCACTAGTTATACTGGTCAACAGCTGAAAAACTCTTCTACTTCAAACCCTGTACCACAACTGTTACAGAGTTACAAAGAACTGATAGGAGTGTCTTCTTCATTTTATAGTAATGTGGTTAATAAACAGATTACACAGAAATAAAACACTCTGAGAAAAATAGAGGCTGTACTTCAAGAACAAAGTGAAAAGTAGATTCCTTAGAAAATGAAAAGCAGTGTTGAGACTATCCTTATCAAATTCTGCTTATAAGAGGGCTCATTTCTGCCTTGATTAGATAGATACTCCCATCTGGAGATTAGTGCTGACGACTGCAGCACACAAATCAGGGTTTTACTAAGACTCTTAGTCAATGGTCACTGTTGGTCCTCTTTGTAGGTAAGTAAAAAAGGAAAGTAATAAAAGTAACACTGGACTACATCTAATGGATAATAACCTAGGAAGAATCATCCCATCACAATTTTGGACATGTGGTGTTTGCTTAAAGAGCATGAGATTGGTAGGCAAGGAATCTGGGTCAACTTCATTCCTTCTCTTAATGTGACTTAGGACAAATCACTTAAAAGTGGCATCATATTTGGTTCACAGAACTGTGAGGATTAACTATGATAATCACAATCCAGCCACCGAGGAAATATTTAACTAATGTAGTAATCTTTTCCTAGCTGATGGATCAAACAGCAGAAAAAGGAAAGTCAGGGTTTCTTGGTAGTGCAGAGCAATTAAAAGATTTCCCTTGGTGCTAAAAAAAAAATTTTTAGCTCTATGAGGGGGTGGGGGTGGGGGGGCTCATCATCCTAGGCAAGTTTCTCCCCTCTTTCATACAGCAAAGTATTTCGCATTTATATATTATCATGCCTTGTATCTTCAGTCACATTTTCACAGTGTAAGCTCTTGTCTTTTTGAATCAGATTTAACACTTCTTCATGAGTCTTTTACACACAATCGCCTACTCTAGGGCCACGCTCATTACAAGCAGCAGTAAACATTTGTTGACTGAAATGGCACAAAGTGAGGTCAGCTTGCATTCAGAGAGCTCCTGTGACACTGGTTTTAAAAGGTGGAGGCCTCTTCCAGCCAAACACACAATCCTGGGAGGTGCCCCTCCACAGCCACCATTCCTTTCCCGTCACCTCGCGCACCGTTCTTAATTTCTTTTCCCAGTCCGGGGGGCGGATCTGTAATATTTACCGCTGTGGAGCGAAAGCTCATAAAAATTTTACTGGTACAACTGAGGCCGCCCCGGCGGCGGCGGCGCAGCAACCACACCTACTTGGCTGCAGCGGCGCGGGGAGCCCGCAGAAGGCGGGCCAGCGGGGCTGCTGGGGTCTGGGTGCCGCCCCCTCCTCGACTCCTCCCGGGAAGGCTCCCAGCCGGGACGGGGTCTGGGACCCGGCGAGCACGTGAGCATCTGGCGAGGATGAGCGCCCGGCCCAGGAGAGGAGGGGAGGCCGCGCCGGGCGGGAACCCGCGGCCAGGGGAGACTTGGAGGTAAATAACCGGGCGCCCGGACCACGGCCGCCTCTGCACCCCGGGACAGGTGCTTCCCCAGAGCCCCCACCTCCCCGCCGGCCCGACGCCCCGCTCCCGAGACCCAACGGGAGGCGGAGCTCCGCGGGCCCGGCCGGCCCTTCCCCGCCGCCACTCACGGTGCTTGCCGCCGCCGCCGCCGCCGCCCGGGTAGCTCAGCAGCAGGAAGGGCAGCGGGGAGCCCGGCGACGGCGGGGTCCTCCAGGCGCGTTGCTGCGGCGGCGGACGCGCTGCGAAGCCGGCGCCTCCATCGCCCGGGTAGAGCAGGAAGAAGGGGGCGGCCACCGGCGAGCCGGGGTCCGACTGCCCGCCGGGGGAGCCCGGCGGCGGCCCCGCCTCGCCCTCTCGGTCCTCGCCCCCTCGGTCCGCGCCCCCGGTCGCAGCGTGACTTGGCTCCTCCAGCCGCTGCTCCCCGCCCGGCGCCGACTCCTCGCTGTAACTTTCCGCGCCGGCGGCGGGCGGCGGTGAGGTCTCAGCCATGCTCGCGCTTTCCTGCGCCGCCGCCTGCGACTCGCGCCCGGCCTGGGCGGGGGAGCAGAGGGTCACGGTGGGGCGCCGCTGCCCCGTCCCGTCCGCACCGCCGCCGCCACCTTTCTCCTTGGCCGCGGGCCGGCGTCTGGGCCCCGCCGCTCGGTCTACTGCCCGCCCCGCCGGGGTCCGAGCCAGCTGGGGGGACGGCCCCGCCCGACGGTACAGCCTCCTTACCGGCCGCCCCCTCCCGATGCTCCTCCCGCCCCGGCCCCCAGCCTGCGGCGCGGCTCCCCTAGGGGGCGGTGTCCTCCTCGCCCACTTCCCACCCTCGCCCGCGCCGGCCGCGCTGCCCCCCCGCCGCCCGGGGAGGAGAGGGCGCGCCGGGCCTCGTGCTCGGCGCCCCCAGCACGGCCCGCCGAGGCGGTCAGGCGTGTTTGCCCCCCGGGCCGGGGAAGCTGGGAGCCCTGCGAAATACCTAGAGGCGTTTTTGTGTGTGACCGCCCGACTTCACCGCCGAGGGACAAAGGTCTGGGTGGAAGAAGCAGCGAAAGCTAATTCTAAAAAGGATCCTCCCCGCCCGCAGCCCCCCGGGTGTTCAACTGTACCCTTTGCCTTTCACACACTAGAACTTTAAACGTCGATTCACGGTTTTGATTCAGGAGCTTTTTGTGTGAGAAACCAGGGGTGGGTGTCTTCCTTCCCCCACCTCTTTTGTTCCCTGTCATGTGGCCGTACAGAAACCGTGAATTTGCTCTGCCTCGAACTCCCTGGTTTCCGCGCCGGCGGCGCAGAAGTGCGCTGGACGCCCAGCCGCTTGGCCTTCATATGACGGGTTCTGTTACCGGTCGACGGCTTTCCCTGTCGCCGCCTCGCTCCTCATCGCCCACGGTTGCTTTATTTGGACTTTGAATCAGTTGATTACCGATCCAGTGATTCCCATTAGTAAACATCTCTAATCAAGACGGTTTCTAGTTACGACCACTCTTCTTTACGCTGGATTCTGTGCATGTGCCCCCGTAAGTCCGGGAGGATGGGCTTTGTGTTAGGGTTGTAAAATGCTGGCATGGAATCCATGTTGACTCATAATTAAAATCACTGTTGTGTAACGTGTTACCCACCTGCTTTTCCCTCTTACTCTGGTCTGTCTTTACCTCTGTAGGGGAAGGTATTTCTTTAACAGGAAAAGTAAACCTTTTTATTGTTACTCTCCGGAAATCACTCTTGAAATTACCACAAGAAATTGCCATGCGGCTTTCACCAAATCTTTTAGATAAGTATTTTAAAAGGACAAATTTACAAGAAGCTAGCTTCAAGCAGTCAGAAAATTTCTTGGGAGCTTTTCACTTTCTGGCATTTCCCTGACCTGTAGATCCCCGCGCTACTGCCTGCTTGAGTAAGATGTCATCTGAGCCTAGATTCTTCTAATATAAAATGATTATATTACTTACTCATGGGTATATTGTGGGGCTTAAATAAGAAATATAAGTAAAGCCTTTAGAACAGGGTCTGCCATATGGTAAAATAATAAAAATTAGCTACATTTTATTATTTTGGCAAAACAGCATATAACTTAGTAAGAACACACTTAATTAAAAGAAAAAACTTTCATCATATCTTTAAATTTTTGGAAGGTTGTTGGGCGTTTTCATTTCAGTCTTGGTGATGGTGAGAATATTGATTTAAAAAAACGTATTTGCCTTTTAGGAAGTGCAAATTGTATAATACCTTGAAGAGAAAAACTAAAAGATTCCAGATGTAGAGAACTGTTTCTCTTTTTCTGTAGAGAACTGTTCACATTGTTCACATTTTATTTTAGCCCCCAGACATAACTACAGGTAAAGACAGGTTTCAGTTATTGCAACCTGACACAGAATCCACAATTTGTTCTAAAAGCTTGTTGTCTGCACCAATTTTCTCTTAAAAATTAAAAAAAAAATCAATTACAATTGATATTCTATATTATATTAGTTTCAGGTGTACAGAATAGTGGTTAGACATTTACATAACTTACGAGGTGATCCCCCATAACTCTAGTGTCCACCTGACACCATACATAGTTATTACAATTTTTTTTTTTTTGGTATGTGCCCCTAGTGGGAACCGAACTAGGGACGCTCTGGTCTGCAGGCTGACGCTTCAACCGTTGAGCCAAACAGCCAGGGCTACAATATTATTGATTATATTTTCTATGCTGTACTTTACATTCCCTGACTATTCTGTAACTGCCGATTTATACTTAATCCTTCACTTTTTCACCAGCCCCCTCCCTCCCAACCCTGTATTATATGGTTTTAACACCCATCCTTAACAGGATCTTTTACCTTGTTTTTGCATGCAGAAATTTGGAAGTATCATTATATTCTTGTCAGGTTCCTTTATAGAGATGTTTTGCAATGTTTAAGTAAAGAATTTGACAAGAATATATACTTAAGCCATTGTAGAAGAAAAGAGCAGAGTCCTCACAAATCACTCTTGTTTTTTTAGACTTAATAGTCTCTTTAATAGGAGGGTAATCTTAGGGACAGAAAAAAATTATGTCCCAATGAAAACACAATACCCAGTTTTGGGTATTGAACTCCAGTGCAGTTAACTGTCTTCAAAGTTTTTTTTTTTTTAAATCTTTATTGTTGAATGTAGAATGTATTACAGATGTTTCTCATTTTTCCCCCATTGACCCCCTCCTCCCCACTCCCGCCCCCCTCCCGCCTTTTCCCTCCCTATTGTCTGTGTCCATTGGTTATGCATATAAGTTCTTTGGTTTACTTCTTCCCACCCCCCAACCCCTTTCCCTTTGAAGGTTGTCAGTCTAGCAATGAATTCATACTTCTTAATCCCTTCACCTTTTTCACCCATTCCTCCAACCCCCTCCCATCTGGCAACCAACACAATGTTCTCTGTATCTATGAGAATGTTTCTGTTCTACCTGTTCATTTTGTTTGTAGATTCCATTGTTGATAGATATGTATTGATTGCCATTTTGTTTTCTCATATATTTTATCTTTTTCTTCAAAAAGACCCTTCATCATTTCATATAATAATGGTTTGGTGGTGATGAACTCCTTTAACTTTTTCTTGTCTGGGAAAGTCTTTATATGGCCATCGATTCTAAATGACGGCTTTGCAGGATAGAGTAATCTTGGTTGTAGGTTCTTGCTTTTCATCACTCTGAATATTTCTTACAAATCACTCTTGAGAAAGGCCAATAAGCAGCCAAGGGAGTCATTAAGTTAACAAAGTATGAAATACTATCTAGTCTAAATTGCTAACTTTCTCCTTTCTAGTTAGCCAAGGTATCTATAGGTATTAGAGACACTGACATGCTGTGGAGTCTTGCAGTGTATTGTCTTTTTTTTTTTAATGCCATTCTTCTTTTAAAAACAGTTCTTTTTCTAATTTGCATCATTAAGTGGCAATGTAATGAATATAGAAAATCAGCTGAAACACGAGTCCCTTAAATTTTACAAGGAATGCTATTTACGAGCATTTTCTTTAAAGGTGATGATACTCCAAGTCCCTAGTTTCTTATGCTTTTAACTTTTGGATCAATAATGTAATCACAGCTCTGCATAACCTCTAGTGACGTAAAGGGCTGATTCAGCTGCTACACACATTTAGGGAAGCCAAGATTATAAAAATAAGCCTGAACATGTTGCTCCTTCTTGAAAATGCACAGAACATCTTCCTATACTTTTTTTTTGCTTTACTGATTTTAGAGAGAGAGGAAGGGAGAGGGAGAGAGATAGAAAATACCGATGAGAGAAAAATCGATTGGCTGCCTCCAGTGTGTCCCCCACTGGGGATTGGGGCCCATAACCTGGGCATGTGCCCTGACTGGGAATTGAACTGGTGAACTCTTGGTGCATGGGTCGATGCTCAACCACTGAGCCACACTATCTGGGCTTCCAATAATTTTAAAGTGACAAGCTCCAAGCCATTGTGAGAATCAAGCTCTATTTTGTGATATAAAGCCAGGGGTGCTGTTCAACTTTGTGTGCATTTTAATTTGTCCATATTTGGTGTTTTGAAACCCTTTGACGATCTTATGGATGGACACTTAGAATATACTACAAAACATTTTAGAGATCAATTTCAAGGATGTACATTTAGCATAAGCTTCTTAGAGCTATAATCAGAGAAAATAATAACACTTAGGAAGGGTTGATAATCCTTCTTCAGTAGTACCTAGGTTCATTATGATTCTAAAATAATGGCTTTCTTGAGCCATTTAAAACAATATCTTTATTGTTAGAAGTATTACAGATGGCCTTTCTTTTTATCCCCCATTGACCCCCTCCCCCCTGCTCCCCTTCTCTTCTACCTTCCCCTCACTGTTTGTGTCCATTGGTTATGCATATATGCATGTAAGTTCTTTGGTTTGTCTCTTCCTGCCCCCCTCCCTCCTTTCCTCTGAGGTTCCACAGTTGAGCCATTTGTTTTTCTTTATTTTTTTTGTTAATCCTCACCTGAGGATATTTTTTCCATTGATTTTT